TAGGATTGCTGCCAGGCTCACCTACAGAGAAAAGCTTACCCAGAGACCTCATGACTTTTCCCTGGACTCTGCTTGTTTCTGGGGGTGTCCTGGGGCAATTCAAGTCAAGCCTCCTGCATTGCTAAACCCTGAGCATCACCCTAGACCTTTCTTTTAAGTGGGAGCAGAAGGCTTCAGGCCAGTTTCTGCTCCCCTGCTGCCTTCTAAGATTGTCCAGAGCAGCATCCTCTGCCTTTGGCTGTGCTGGAGGTCTGCCAGTGGCAATGCTTCTGCAGGCCTCGGGGAGAAGGTGCTCAGGATGGGGCTCTTGCTCCTCTTTGTATTCAGGTGTTGCTGCCAGCACATGGAGGATAAATCAGCATCTCAGCCAAGGATGGCTCTTAAGGACCTGAGAGCAATGCTCCTGAGGAGCAGTGGGGGTCTGACTGTGTCAGTGGTGTCATAGGGATGAGACAAGCACTGTTTGTTATTGGGAGAAGCATATGGATGATCAGGGCAGGGCAGGAAAATGGGGGGAGAAGAAAGATGGGGATTAAAACCCAAAATAACAAAAGGAAAACCTGCATTTTCCCAGTCCAAACCCTGCGGTGGCTCTCTACCCCCTCATCATCCTTTGGAGATGTAAAATGTGGAACAGAGTGCAGTTACTTCCCTGATTACACTCTTGTCTTCCCTTACCAAGCTATTGAAGAGGAACTGGGGAGCACATTATGAAGGATACAGCCCTGTGAAATCTGGATTATTCCCTTTAAAACAATCGCAGGAATCTCAATCTTGTCATTCCATGAGGGTCACAACAACTTCACAGCTTGCCAAGCCCTTCACCATCCACCATTCCCTTGTTGGGGGTATGTGGAGCTCTGTGGGCCTGTCCCAGTCTCTTCTCAAAAAACAGTGAATTTAAACAGAAACCCTCAGAAGGGTTTGGGCTGAAAAACTGGGAAAATTCCTTGTTTTGGAGTTGTGGGCATGGAGTTTGGAAGCACACACGGTACCCGTCCTGTGCCTCCAGACATGGCTGGGATGCGGTGACAGTGAGGATGGAGGGGACAACCACAGCCCCAGAGGGGATCTGATGTTCCTGTACCCAAACAAGGAGGATGACATCTGGTAACGGGTGGTGTGTATACAGGTGCTGATTTAACCAGGTTAAATCTTGCCCAAAGCGAGCATTTAGTCTCTGGAAAAGAAAAAAATCCCATTACTTGCATGTCTGGGTTGTGTATCTGTGCTTTGTACTTCAGCTATGCCGGGCTCCGCTCTCAAACCATTAAAAATCCAGAGGAAAGCCTCCAGAGAGGCACTGCTATAAATAGCAGGAAATTCTCTCATCCTCCGTGTGTCTGGGAAGGGTTTCATTCCTTGGCTTGTTCTTAAATAATATATAGATGATACACAGGCACTGTCAGTACCTGTCTGTGCATTACCTGTGGGTACTGAAGCATCACTGCAGCCTCTCAAAGCCACAGCAACCTTTTTGTATTATCTTCTTGTGGGTGATAATCTGTTGGATATTAATGCAGTCACCCCACAGTGATGGATGTGAATTACATCCCCAGGAAGCTGAGATTCCTTTTCAGCCTTTTTGGATGGTTTGAGGAATACAAAGTAAACCTTGTGAATGAACAGGAAAGAAAGATTGCTTTTATAATTTTGGGGTGAAAGGAAAGGGAGGGGGGCACAGGAGCTGCCTCTGCTCCTTCTGCCCTTTTGCTTGGTGGTTTAGCCATTAGGACCAGAAAAGGCTGATTTCACCGTGTTCTTATGATGTGTGGTACTTTGCACACAACAGAAATAAGATGGGTTTCTAGTGATGGCCAGGGTGATGGGATGCACAGCACAGTGCCTGGGCTGTATTTGGGGGTAATCTCCTTGTAGGGTGGCTGGGATTAGATTCACGGATGCTTCTGGTGCCTGAGGATGATTTCTTTCCAGTCATTCTTCCATCAGGGAGCAGGAATACAAAACTTTCAGTGGTACCTGCCATTCCTACATCCCAGCACTGGTGGTACCTGCCATTCCTACATCCCAGTGCTGGTCGTACCTGCCATCACTGCATCCCAGCACTGGTGGTACCTGCCATTCCTGCATCCCAGCACTGGTGGTACCTGCCATTCCTGCATCCCAGCACTGGTGGTACCTGCCATTCCTGCATCCCAGCACTGGTGGTACCTGCCATTCCTGCATCCCAGCACTCCTGAGGCTGTGCTTTGCTTTGCATCCTGCCCTCCCCTCCTGCCAGCCTGGCTGTTTTCAGCTTTGTGTTTCTGCTAATGTGAAATCCAGGAGCACGGGGTGGGCTGGTGGAGCAAACAATACCTGATTTACTTGGTTAATTTAAATAGTGTCTAGTGGGTAGCACAGGGAGGCTGCACCGCTGCTCCAGCAGTCACGCTGGGAGGCAGGTCTGCAGCCCCATTACGTGCTATTATTGCTTTCAGGGTAATGTATACATTTTCTTTCACTATCACATAGTTTTTCTCCTTCATTTTTCATGAGAACTGGCATTAGATTAATGGTTAAGCCATGGAAGAAACGTAACACCGTGCCAGTCTGATTTATTGACCACTTAGTGCTGATGAAGCTGCAAACAAGAGTCAGGCAGATGTTGCAGCTGCATTTTTCTTTATCAAAGCTAACAGCTTTGTGTGTCTTTTAACCACTTGTTGCACCATCTCCTGCTTACCCTACAGCACTAGGGACAGTGGAACAAATCCCTCCACCACCCTAAGGAGACTGCTGGGGTGCAGCATGCCCAGGAGCCTGGACCAGGCCAGGGATAGGCAGCAGCATCTCCAGCTCTGCAGATGCTCTGGGCACTGAAGTGATGGGTGGCTTTCCAATGGGCACAGTTCCAGAGCTGTCTGCAGCCCAGTCCAGTGCTCCCTGTAGGACTTCCCTCCACTGTCCTGGCTCATTTCCCACATGGAAGTTGCATTTGTCATGTTTTGTTTCAGTCTTTCACATTTCTCTTGTTCTGCTGGTAGGTCTCCAAAAGGAAATAGTGATTCTCTGCTGATGTAGAGTTGTCCAAAACATGCGTGTTCTCTTCATTCGTGTTAAAACATCTAAGTTCTCCAGGTAGATGGGCATTCGTGAGACTTGCCAGTCTGAGGTCAGCTTCTGGATGTAGACATAAGGAGCAAACCTCTTGATTTTGTGTTTATTTTATATGCTTTGATTTATCAGAAGTATAAACTCCAGTGCCAGTCTGCTGCTGAGGTCCATGTGCTACTGCTGCCATGAGCCCCATCGCCCTAACGTGCCTGGTGACAATCAGGCACTGTCAGGCTGTGACAAGCACAGTTAATCTGAACTGAAGGAAGCAGCATCTGCGGATCAGCAGAAGGCAAATGTGGCACCATGTGTGTGCTGACCACAGGATTTGGGGTGGAAAGAGAGGATGTGGTGTTCTCCTGTGTCCTCCTCAAGTTGTCTCTCATCTGGGGCAGATGTGCCCTGTGAAACAGAAGGTTTGGAACACACAAAGATTGAAGATAAAAGGGGACTCTTGAGAACAGATCTGATGGTTTGCTTTGCTTTAGCACTTTCCAGAACGACTCCGGAATAGGTTGTTAGCAGTTCCTCACTAGTTTCCTTGCCTCTTCCCTGTGCAATGCAACTTTTATCTTCTGGGAGATACTGCAGTCTCAGAATCTGCACTGAGAATCGCCCACTTGCAGTTTGCATCAGTAAAGGGGGGAAAATGCAAGTTTCTGCTTGCATATCTTCCTCATTTAAAAGACAGCTTCTCCAGATAAAGGGACATCTCAGGGTGCAGAATGAGGGATGGAACTCTCAGAGCTGTGTGTTTTACCTGTAGCAGGTTACCTTCCCCTGGTCTTCCTTTAGGGCAAGTGTCCATGGGCTGCTCCAGCCTTCTGCGGGTTTCGTAAGCAAGCACTCCCATTAGCACAACCTTTGCAAATGAATGACGGCTCGCCTTCCCTCTCCCACTCAGAGCAGGGCTCTAGCAGCATTAATGAAACATTAGAGTTTTAATTACACCATTATCCTATTTATTTTTATAAATAATTCCCAAGCAGTCATTAAGTTTGTGAACTTCGGAGTAAACGACTTAAGGGAGAGAGATCAGCTTCTCCATCTCGTTATTATCTATTGTACAATCTCGCTGGGATGCTGTTGGGGAAAGTAGCCGAGTTGTTGCTGTTGCTGTTGTTAAGATGATTCATTTACTCACAGGGTGGTAGCACACTGCTCAGCTCCCGACTTGAAGCGGCTGTGTCAGTGGGACGGCGCCGCAGTGCGTCAAAGCCAGCTCCATCCCTGTCTCAGGCCCCAGACAGCGGTGCATGGGGGGAGAGGGGAGCATTACCCAGCCCTGCAGGAGCCTTGCAGTCGTTCTGCAGCACTTCTGCAAAGGACGCAGTCTCTTGCAGCCCTGACCTTCTGCAGCTTGCTGCTTTCCTTGCAGAGCTGCAGGGTCTTCGCAAGACAAGGAGTGTTGGGATGTGTGGGAAGAGCCCATCCTTGGGGCACTCTGAGCCTCCTTGCCTCTTCCCTCCCTCTTTCTGCTACTATAGAGAAAGCATGGCTGTTATTGATGTTCCAGGGTGAATTCCCACTTAATCGAAGTAGCTTTATGTGGACCAGAGCTGACAAAAGCATTGGCTCAAATGGACTGCAGGTCCCTTAAACCAAAGCAAATTACCTGGTGTTTGTTGCAACGGCTGATTGCAGAGCTCCTGCAGGTCTTCAGTGTTTTATGGGCTGGAGGAAAGGTTCACCCTGAGCACACAAGGGGAGCAAGGGATTTGCAAGCAAAGGGCACTTAGGATGGGAGGAAGCTGTGTGCAAGCTCTGTTGTGCGTCCTCTTAAAGGACAGCTCTGATCTTGGGAAGATGTGGTCCATACTGGGATCTAATTACGGTGCTTTATGGCAGGTTTAGGAGAACATTATGAGGCTTTCCTAGTTCTAATTAGGAGGATGAATACAGAGAGGCCCAGTGGTGTAACTTTTGCTGTGCTCTCTCTGCAGAACCCAGACATCGTGTTGGTGCACTACCTGAATGTCCCTGCCATCGAGGACTGCGGCAAGCCGTGCGGCCCCATCTTGTGCTCGATAAACACAGACAAGAAGGAATGGGCAAAGTGGACAAAAGAGGAGCTCATCGGGCAGCTCAAGCCCATGTGTGAGTATCTGCTGGAGGCTCTGCTGCTCTTTGGCTTTATGAAGGGTTAGAGAACGATGTCTCACTGCCACCAACTGCCCCTGTGAAGGAGTCATTTGTCAAACTCACCTTGCACTGCATGCGCTGTCTTTCTCCCAGTGTTCAACACTTCTGGAATGCATGGGCTGAGGGCTGCCCAGGCTGGCCCAAAACAGGTCCTGGTCCAGAAAAGGTCCCTTCCACACACTATAAAAACTGTGCCTTTGGTCTTACGCTTCCAAAGCCTTTTGTAAGCACATAGTCATCTGCAAGGAGCCTTTGTATTATTAGGTAGGTTTCCCCCAGGGGCACTCCATGTTTGTGTCAGATGGGAAGGGGTTGCTGTTGCTCAGATGGGCTCTGGAGCTGGGTGCCTCAGGGTGGGTGTCGTTTACCACTGTTCTTTGCAGTGTAGTAAGAGGGCCACTTCGGTGTGTGCAGTGATGAGGAGGTTTGCTCTGCAAACAGACCTCTGTGCATCTGCCTTGGACTGTGTTTTCCTTCACATCACAGCTACGGTGTGTATCTTCCCCTGGAGAGCAGGTCCCAGTGTGCGTGCAAACATCTTTTGTGCAGTGAAAGACAGGTTTGGTGCAATGTGGGTCTGTAAGAAGGAGAAAATTAACCACAAGAGCCACAATACCCAATGTAGGTGCTTGCATCTGAGTCAGCAAACCCCAGGTCTGCTTTCCACCCTCACCCCTGCCCCAGCCAGACGCTGGTGTCGTGCCCAGCTCTCTGTAATGAGAGGTCAGAGCCGTGAAGTCCATTCTGATGTGTCTCAACCATCAGAGGGGGCTCAGTGTCGCGTTGTGCTGAGCACAGCATTAGTGGTCCAGGTTTGCATCACTCCTTTGTTGCATCCTGAGCAATGCAGCCCCATGTAGTCCTTTTCCATGTAAAGCTGGGGGGGTGGAGGGCAGGGAGGGGGCAGAAGACAAGCACAAGAGAAGAGAGAACATGACACATTTGCTAAACAGAGTATTGCCCCCGGGACCAATAACCTTAGACAGAGATCCAGGATGCTGAAGGTGTAGCTGAGGCTGGACAAGTACCTTACCATTAAACAGGAGGGAAGTGGCAGCCTGTTAAAAAATCTGCAGTGCATCAAGAAAATGATGTGAAAACTGCAACGAACTCCCCATAAATTTAATAACACTTGGCTCTTTTATGTCTCAGGAGGGAAGAGTGAAACTCTGCGCAATTATTCAGAGTATATATGCATGTACACGTCTCTGTTTATGGGTACATATCCTGGGAAACGCATCCTTAGAAATGGAGCTCAAATAAAAGCTTTGGATGCTGCTCAGACCTCGGAAACAAAGAGGACATGGATAACCGTGTCTGGGGAGCGCAGAGGGGCACTGCTCGCCAAGAAGCCATCAGATTTGGTTCCAGTATTGCGTGTGCCATTAAATCCTGTAGCCAAGCACATTAGTTTCATCACATTTTTGCATTAATCACATTCTTTCACAGACTTCGCAGTTTGATTGCCTCATGTTTCCAAATTTCTCTGCCCTAAAGCAGATTTGTCAGTGACTTAATCAGAGCGTTGGGCATGGTGTCACTGGGGAAGCGACAGTCTCACCCTTTTGCCTCTTCCATTCTGGGGTTCTCCTACATGTGATTCCTCTGGGCTCGGAAGCTGTGAGAGGGTTTTTTGGTGATTCTCTGGTTTTCTTGGTTGCTGTTTTTAGTGTTTCAGACAAGTTAGTGCTGATACAGCCAGGCTGTTCCTGCAGGGAGGCTTGAGCATCCTGTTTCATTCCAAACTGGGAGAAGCCAATTCCCATTCTACCTTTGGGGACAATGCAGAGGGCAGTGTCCAGGTCTCAACTGGCTGAGTACAAGTGCTGTTTGTTCAAGCCCTCCTCAGCCTGGACCACAGTCAGATATTAAAGCTTTTGACCCCTGTCAGGTATTAAAGCTTTTGTATCAGAATCTGGGCTAACAGAGCGTCTGTGGTGCGGCAGCCAAAGGCTGGGAACATGTTCTCTTGGCCGTGTGTGCCTGGAGAACTGCAAGTGATGTGGCAGATGGCTGGCAGAGAGAGAGGCATCAGTCTGAGAGCCCGAGCCAGACAGATACATCAAACTGGTTTTCCTGAAACGCAGAGAGCCCCTGCCTGGGATGAGCAGGAATCTGCTCACATTGCCCGCATCCGTAACTCACCCTGCTCCTTCTTCCTTCCCTGCTGCATCATCCCAAAGTCAGTCCAGGCCTCAGAAGGCATCTGGGACAAGCACAGGACCCGGGTACCAGACTGTGTCACCTCTGTGGGCAGAGCAGCGTGCTGAGGTCTGGGATGCTGAGAGGGGGCTCCTGCTGTCCTGGTTAGAAGGAGACCTCTGCAGAGGTGGTTTTTCCTAATGCCCTGACTGTGCTTATGCTTATGGTTATGGATGAGAAGATGCCTTTTCAGGGTGGCCACAGAGCTCTGAGAGCTTCATGGAAACACCATTAACTTGTCCTAGCAGAGCTGCTCTGTGAGCTAATTCAGAGACTGAAATTAGCCCATTTGAGCATCCATAGAAGGTAAATAGTTGATGCGGATGCTCCGAGGGTTTGGGGTTTCATCAGCATCTCCAGCTGAGACTGTACATAATGAACTGATCAGCCTGACTTCAGTTTTCACAGCTTTGGGTTTCTGGTTTAGTTCTGATGTATTTGTTACCTGCATTCATGCTGGGACATCCATGACCTCCTGATTGTCCTTTCTGGACTATCACTGGTGGCTTCTCAGGCCTCAGTTCCGCAGTCCTTGAGACTGAATCAGACGAGCCTGGAAGAGCTCTGGATTCATGACCTCCAGCAGGATGAGTCCCCTCTCCTTTCAGGCTAGGAGATAGGGCACCGTGTCTTAGTCATAGGCATGCTTAGGGAGCACACAGAGGGCTGTGAAGCCTCCACTGAAACATGCTGCTTCTGCTGGCAGAGCTGCGATAATCTGTGTGTCAGCAGCATCCTAACTAGTTGTCTGAATCAAGCGGGTCATCGTGTGCATTGCTCCTGTCTGAGTGCAGCTTTTGGGGACATTTGTGCAAAGTGAACAGTGATAATACATGGAAATTGTACAGGACCATCATCTGAGACACCTGTGAGTCATTTCAGGATGCCTGCTATGAAAAATGTGTCTCAATTTGGCCTTGCTTTCCCTTTCCCCCCCTTTTGTGCCCTGTTACAGTCTTGCTTTGAGATTTCTGTGAACAGATTTGCAGATGTCCTTAGAGGCATCTGGTGGTAAAATCAAACCGCAGCGGCCGAATCCAGCACAGCAGAATTCTGTGTATGAGCTCCATATGATCAGCAAATTGCGGCCAGCTCATGTTGGGGGTTTCTCCAAATCATCCCCTTTCGGCTTTCTCATCCCTCAGCTGGCAAAGTCTGAGTTACAGGCTCACAGCTGGTGCTCCTTGGTTCAGGTCCATTGTAATTAAGCACTTTCGTTTGGGGGGAAAAAGAAGCTTTTCTTCATTCCTCTGCTGCCTGGAAGCTGATTGCTCCCACCACAGCTGGGGATGCTGGGGCTTCACATGGCACCCAGCACACTCAATACCTTTGGGCATAGGCGGTGGTCCTGTCTGGAGTCACCAATTCAGTCTGTGTAAGTGAAACCATCGGGGATCTTGGAGCTCACCTGAAACAGCATCCCTGTTGTCACAGCTGGAGAGGGCTTTAAATCCTCCTAACCCAGAGCAAAGTCTGAACAGCAGAGATGTGCTTCAATTGAAGAATCGATTGTTGGGTATTTTTATCTCGGCTTAAATTTACATTCAGTTTCAGTGATTGTGGGTGAGGTTTGGGGTTTATAAACTTAAGATCAGTTGCACAAACCTGCCCCATGGGATGATTTTTACCGTTCCCCAACCTGTTTGTCAGAGCTGCAAAGTGGAACTGAAGTTTGCCAGCTCAGCACCAGCTGAGGGCCAGGCAAAAAGTGACTGAGTCTGTGGAAGAGTTTGGGTTTAGTAATGCAGGTGTCCAGTTTTGGACAGGTTCTGATACCCCAGTGGCCACTTGGACTTTGAGTACCTCCCATTCACATCCGCAGCGGAGCCAGGATCAGCCACCTGCTCCATTCCCATCCTCTCACCACGGTGCAGGCTTTCAACTGCAACTGGAGATACCCCAGTGAGATAATCCCAGCAGCTGAATCCGAGCGTTGACAGCAGTACAGTATGAGCTGGACTGTTGGCAGTGATGGGAATTAACTTGAGGAGAGTGAAACCAGTTCCCCCTGGAAGCTGGGTATTGAACCAGGTGCAGCAATGGCAGAACTGAGGATGCCACGGGCACACCAGCCCTTGTTTTCTGTGCCTCCCCTCTTAGCATTCAGCTCTGCTAACAGACTCAAGGCTGTGGCCTCTCTCCGTGGCATCTCACTGGGATGCTGTAAGGTTATAACCAGAGACCCTGTGGTGCAGCCCCAGCCCGGGAGGGGCTGGGAGGCCGGTGGCAGGCCGGGAATGCTGGGCTTTCTCCTGTGCTAATGAAGTTTTGTCTTTTTTTCCCAAAATCGCCCAAAGGGAGGCTTTTGCCGGAAAAAAATGGGGGAAAAAAATAGCTCAAACACGGGATGTTCCTGCGCGGCCGCGGAGCCGGCGGGCGCCGGGACCTGCGCGCGTTCCTTATCCCATGGCGCCACCTGGCGGCGGCCGGGCCGGTGCCGATCCCGGCGGGATGGAGGTGGCCGGGTACCGAGCCCTGAGGGATGGAGGTGGCCGGGTACCGATCCCGGAGGGATGGAGGTGGTCGGGTACCGATCCCGGAGGGATGGAGGTGGCAGGGTACCGATCCCAGCGGGATGGCAATGGCAGGGTACCAGTCCTGGCAGGGTGACGGTGCCTGCTGTTGATCCCAGCGGGATAGCAGTGGATGGGAGCCGGTCCCAACGGGGTGACAGTGGCTGCGTACCGATTCTGGCAGGGTGGTGGTGTCTGGGTGTCAATCCCGATGGGATGATGCTGGCCAGGGTCTGATCCCGGCAGGGTCTCAGTGCCTGTGAGCTGCAGATGAAGAAGGGAGCTCCCACCGGTGGGTGCAATTGGGGCTGGAGGAGCAGTTAGTACCGTGGTTGTTCCCTGTGGGCTGCCCAGTGTGGGACTGTTCCCTCTGTTCAGCTTCCAGCACCAGCAACACTGGAATGCAGTTGGGACCAAGCACCTTTGCCCCACCACACACAATTCCAGAACTCAACAGCAGGGCTTTTTAGCAGATCAGGTCAGGTATTTGGAGTCCTGTGGGTGGGAATGGCCCAGCCGGTGATAGCAGCTCTGTCCTGATTAATGTTATCAAAGGCAAGAACCCCCCCAGTGCAATTTGCTCTCCATTATAGGTTACCACATTGGTGGCTTAGGAGAACGATTTGCCAGAGTTAGCTTCAGCTCTGGTCTTTCATGTGTGAGCAGCCTAGAACTTCGGGTGGCTGTAAGTACAGATTGCATTAGCTGTAGGTAAGAGCTGCAGAAGGCTCACTCCAGGCAGCTTCAGAAGAGTTGTGTCCCTCTGGTCCCCTCCAGGTAACTGAACCCTATGTACTTCCCGCCTGTGCATCCCGTGGCATCTGGGCAAACCTTTAAGGAAGGGCCTTATTTGGGAAGAAAGGCTCGTCTGGAAAGAATGGTATAGAGTGAAGTGTCTGTATGAGTCCTTAGGAAGACATTAGGATTCAGGCAGTGTGATGCAGCAGTGGTGGAAGTGCAGGGTGATCTTCCTGCCCGCATCCCTGGCAGTGGGGCTAAGGAAATCTGTCCTTTGTAACCAGTGATGAGTGGAGGTGGAGGGCTGGAAAAATCAAAGCTGAATTGCATGTGGATGCAAGAGGATAAATCCAATGGAAATCTCCTCCAGCCGAGCTGTGAAATCAGAACAAGGCCTTTACTTGTGTCAACACCAACGCAGTGAAAATTGAAGGGACAAGGCTGCCATTTCCAATTGACCATCACTATGGAAACAGCCTCCCGGTGTCAACAGTTGGTGGAGTGGGATGTAGGAAGCGAGGCGGCTGTCCTTAGGGCAGTAGGACAAAGGACCAGTCAGTGCTTGTAGGTTTGTAGAGCAGCCAAGGGCAGGGCTGATGCAAGGGTTTGCACGGGGCCATCCGAGATGCAGCAAGAGGGAGAGGCAGACAGGAACCTGGCCTTGATTATTCCAAATACTCCAGCTGTGTCAGTCCAGCCACGTTATCTGGTTAATGTGGGAGATGCCATCGTTGTTATTCAAAAGGCAGGTCCTTACCTGTCAGAACAGGGCAGAGGAGCAGCACACAGGGCATAGGGAATGGCTTCATTCTGTACGATACATATATGTGTTAAGAGCTTTGGAATAGAAACAGGAAGCCTAAAAATGGATGAAGTTGCAAAAAGGGATGTCTGAGAGCATTCAGAAAGGGTGGAATGATCAGATTTAAATGTGAGGAAGTATTTTAGGGACAAGTTCTGCTTTGGGTGGAAGAAACCACAAAGAGGGAGATGGTCAGGATTTTAGCCATTGATGGTGTTTGATCTAGAGTGAAGGTGAGAGAGCAATGTAGGCTTTAGGTGATGGGGAGGAGGAAGATCTCTACAAGACGTGGTAATTGTGGAAGACCAAGTACCACCAGCAGGGACAGAAAGCAGAAATAGCCGGGGTGTTGTAAGAAACCTGGACAATTGTATGACTTTCCTTTGCCTTCTAAGCTGCCTTTTTGCTCATAATCCAGCTAGTTTTTCATTCCCATGCTCCTGATGCTCAAAGTCCTGACAGCACTCATGAACAGGGACCAACATCAGGTCATTTTAATCACCTTCAAAAGGGAAGAAAGAGAAGAAAGGTGTGAGCCCGTGCTCACAGAAAGAGGGTAGAGCAGCATTAGCATCGTGAATCATGGACCTTCCTCCAGCCTCAGTTCTCTTCTTCAAGCACCCAGTGAAAGAGCAGTAATTCTCCCCATCTCCAGTGTGCAGAGGGTGCATGGCAAGAGGAATGTGTTGCTGCTGTAATGCAGCGGCTTTTAGACCCATTTGTGGTCTCACTGGAAGGGAACATGTTGGAGCAGTTCACAGCTTTCATTTTAAATTATAAGGAAAAGCAGGAGGTGTCTGAACAGAAACACATTAAAATACTTCCCAGAATTTCTGTTAAGCTTCAGTCTCCCCCCCTCTTTGTTTGTGTTCCTGCATTATGACTATATTTAATCAAACATAGTTCTACAGTGGTTTCACTTCTTGAACCACTAAGAAACAGGAAGAACGTGCATATGCTTTTTATTAACCTCCCTTTCATAATGCACTTTCTTCCCTATAGAAATCTCCTTTCCTGCTGATTCATTATGTGTCAGGAAGCCAAGCGTGACATGTTAAAAGCCATCTTGATAGTATTTGGTATTCAGGACTAACAGCTCAGCAGCTCACAGGAGTTCTTCTTTCAAAGGGGGAGGGAGAAGATGTGCGTGTTGGATGTGCCAGGATAGTGGATAATTTGCATTAAGCATCCAGGCAGTCTATTTTTTTGCAATCTGTCACCCTTCACTGGCTCTTTTTATTTTATAACCTTTATATCATAAGGGGAGCAGAAGCACTAAAAAAACTTGCACCACGTGGACAGAAACTGGAATTGGAGCCATTTGGGATGAGCTGGAGCAAGGCTAGAGAAGGACTTTCCTCAGCAGCAATAGATCCACAATGGGACTTTGTTATACGGGAAGCACCTGAAAATAATAGGCAAGGCACTCTAAGTATCCATCTATAAAGCTGTCTGTTATTGCTTAGCTTCCAGCTCACAGCTGGATTCCGACTTAGGAACCATCATCATGAATACACAAACCATGAGACATGACTCACGTACCAGCCTTGCCCCCTGTAATATGCTGCTCATCGCAGGGTTTAGCAGCAGGAGGGTGCAGACTCTGTCAGAGTGCTGTAGATCAGCCTTTCTGTACCTAGCAGCATGTGTGCCAGCTCTTTCCTGTAGCAAAGCACTGCTGAAGTAACCAGAAATAAGTTAATGCAAAGTTTCTCGGTGATAACTGCAGTCCAGTAACTTCCTATACTGTAGCCAAAAGTATTCCAAATGCATGACTGCATTTTAATCTCCCTGGCAATGTATTTTCTTCACCAGTGCTATTTGAGCATCACTTATTAGGAATAATATCACATGTGACAGAATAATGCTCCTAGAACAATAAACCGAAAGCGAGCAGAGGTACTGAAGCAGTAAGCGTCTATAACCTTAAACGTAGACATAACAACAGGAACTGAGTGCTAAGAGAGAACTCAAAACTGTGAACATACAAGAAAGCAAAATCTGTTGGGTACGATAACAATAAATGTGGCTGTCAAGCAAGTACAGAGGGACTCATTACTAAGCTAACTGCAGCACTTTAAATAGTGATACGAGGAGGAATACTTGTAAATCTTATTTACCATTATTTCTGCAAGTTAATCCCAGAAAGCTGAAGTCTGTGGGACTTGTAACTTTGCTTTGGTGTATCCTGGTTAGGGATTTCAGAATATAACAGGCAAGGAGCCTGCTTTGATAGAGTGTGACAATGGAAAAAGCAGCTCTTCAGGCCTGAGCTGCCAGGCACAGGGACAGCTTGGAAATGATGCTGTCATCAACCATCACTTCCCAAAATCTGCAAGTGAGCTCTAATGCACACAAAGGATAAATAATACCTACGTATAAATTGCTGAGAGAGACGTTAAAGGAGACGAAAGATGCTTCGAGTCAGTTATTATGGAGAAAACATTTTACAAATGCTTTTCCATTGTAAGTCAAGTTGGGAGTATCATTGTTGTGTGAAGTTCTGCATCTAAAAATGCTGAGCTGGAGCCTTTATTCAAGTAATACATGTGCATGCAGTTTAGCATTCTTATTTAAATAGCTAACAGGCCAAGGGAGTCCCCAAGAGACCTGCAGTTTGCAGTGTGTTCTGCAGTGTTACCCCCTTGTTCAGGTCAGTGGAGGAACTTGCACAGTGTCTGCTAGTGACTCCCCAAAACGGAGTCAGTCTTCCCTGCTGCCAGCCAGGATCTGACAATGAAGACAAAAGGCAAAAGGTTTGTATTTGCTATTATCCTGGCATATCTTTGGCTGCTGATTTTATTATAAAACTAACTCATTCTGGTTTCATATTAGACAGGAAAATATTCCAAAATGCTCCTTGGAACAGTACTGTTTTACTTTAATGAAACACAAGCATTTTGTTGCCTTCAGGTTACATGCACTAGTCATAGTCCTTACAGTTAGCCTAGTTGGAGAGCCACCATTAACAGCAAACTGACATACAGCAAGATATTCTACTGAGGATTTTTTCCTCTGTATGTACTTAATCTAGGAATTGCATTTGGAAGCCCATAGGTATCAGGGAGCAGAGAATAGTAAACCAATAACCATTACTGTGGCTTTTTATAGGTCGTCTTCAGTTCTGATACCGAGCAGCAGGACTGGGTTTCTGCTGGTTTTTTGCAGCAGCTTTTGATGGTTTCTAGCATGGTTTTGATGGGAAACTGATGGGAAGTTTTACTGTTATCTTTGCAGTTCATGGCATTAAGTGGACATGCAGCAATGGAAACAGCAGTTCAGGGTTCTCGGTGGAACAGCTCGTGCAGCAGATCCTTGATAGTCACCAGACCAAACCGCAGCCTCGGACACACAACTGTCTCTGCACTGGTACCTTGGGTGAGTACCTTGGGAGGGCACAAAATGAGCACAGACTTGGAGGAGGGTTTGTGGCACTGGAGGGCTAAAAATGCTGTATCATGAAGCACTGAGACACAGTGAACTCAAAGGTGACAGAAGAAGTCTTGAGGCTAAAAAGATAGAGCTGGAACTCCTGGAAAATACGTCACTACTTGTAATGTGCAAGTTCTGATAAATGCTCTCCATATGTGACCTGCTCAAAAAGCCATGTTTTCTTCTTCATCCTCAAATTTTGTTACCGAAGCCTCAGAACTTAATGTTCACCCTCTCAACTCCTTGCCCTGCAGCCCACTTTGCTGAAGACAGTGGATACAAGTCATTAATTGCAGGGCATCACCAGGATGAGGCAGGTTTTATTTAGGTATCATGAAAATACAGGAGGTTTCTTTCCTGGTAAAGAAGGTGGCTTTGTTTTGAGTGAGTCTACAACAGCAAGAAACAGCATCCTTAGTGTTACCTTTATATGGAGAGTGGGAAGCTGAGCGATTCGCTTTTCCAACTCATCTAGCCACCCTCTCCTAGTACTTTGGTCAAGTAAAATGTATGACATGTTAATTAGTCTTTAGCAAAATGTATAAAGGAAAGCTGTCAGTGCTTCAAAGGGGTTATTTTCTTCTTTTTGGGGCAGCTGCATTATATAGTCAAGGCTTAAGTAAGAATTATGACCTCTGAAGTACCTGAGTTTGGATTAAAATTCAACCCTTAAGGCTCAGCATTTGATCCAGGCTTGCAGATCTGAACATAAATCCTTTTATTCTTCCCTTTGATGTTTTGTCTTGTGCTAAGTCTACTGCATGCTTTTTAACATAACAGTAGCACTTTGTTTTGTAACGGCTTGCACATTGACACATACATCCCCAGTTCCTTACTGTCATCTGCAAAGGCAGCAGCATGAAAGCCTCTCCCTTGTTCCTGCTCATCTCTATACCTAGGAGAATAGAGAGATTTAATATTGCATTTGGTCTCAAAAGCACTGTCCTGAACTACTTTAAGTGACCTGATTCAAATCTTGAGCACATAATAGAGAAGTTCCCTTCCAAGGGCAAGGAACAAAAGATTCAGCAAATTGCAGCAGCTATACAGAGGCTTTATGTTACCCAGAAGATGGCATTTATAATTGTAGCCATTAGCTATAAGGAGGAGGTTTCTTTCCCCCTTTAGTCATTATACAGTACCATAATTAATGTTCTTACCTCATTCGAGGGAAAATGAATCAATTAAGGAAAGAAACATCAAAAATTCATGGGCTGCTCTTTAAACAACCAAAGCAGTCCCTGCACCAGAGTTTGTGGCTCAGATGCCTTTGCAGGCAGAACTGTTTACTTTGTCCTACCTGATTTCCAAGCTGCCAGGAGCTTGGGTGATGTCCATCTTCTGCTAGGCCAGTGAAGGCACCAGCTGGATCAGTGCCATGGAGGGGTGTTTGCTGGTGACCTTTACTTGAGCATTCTTCAGTCACTCCAGTACTCAGCTCTAGAAGTACAGAATGTTTATCTGTCAGCATATGAATGCCTTAGAACAAAAGAAATCCATTGCCATCCTTATGGGAGGGAAAGCTGCTTTGTGATGGTTAATGTACTACTACTTTAATAATTTGATTGGCAGCTGTAATAGATACAATGATGACAAAAGATAAGGGTCGCAATCTGGGCAGCAGGATGTTGCTAAGGACAGGAGCATGGTATGGCATCTGTCACCTCCAGGTTACCAGTCAGCATCCAACCTGGGTCTGACAACGGGGGCTGTTGTCAAACCACCCGACATCAGCCAGTGTGAAGAGCTGAGCATCTTCACGCTGTGTCACAGGGGGCTGAGGTCTTGTCTGTGGTGCAGATGAAACGGGGCCTGCGAGGCAGAAACCCCCTACCACAACTGGCAGCAGCAGCCCTCCCTGTGCAGACTGTGCTGACATTGGCCACGTTTAAAGAGCTTTGAAGCTCATCACAGATGCTCAGTCCTCTCCTGTTGTCTGATCAGGGCAGGGAGGAAGAGGTTGGGTGCTCTGTGGGTGAGAGGAAGAGTGCAGATGTGTCTGTTTTGAGGTGGTTGTCCTTGCATGCAGTGTATCTGTGCATTAGAGAGAAAGGGAGCTGTGAATCTGGCACTGGTGAGAAACAGTTTTATTTCTAAGGTGTATTTTCCATTCTCTGTGTGCTCACTCACTCTCACACACGTGTATGTTCATAAGCACAGCTCTCCTGTGCTACAGCGAGATACACAACTGGCTTAACTTTGTTACGTACTGAGTGGCAATGTTGTTGTTCTCTGGCACAGGGGCAGGAAGCAGTGTGCATCACAAGTGTAACAGTGCCAAACATCGCATCATATCACCAAAGGTTGAACCAAGGACAGGTGGGTACAGCGCTCATTCAGAGGTACAAAATAACGATGTCTCTGAAGGCAAGAACGAGCACAGCCACGGCAAGGCCTCCAGCCGAGAGAAGAGGAATGGCAAAGTGGCGAAACCAGTGTTGCTCCATCAAAACAGCACTGAGGTTTCTTCCACCAACCAAGTGGAGGTCCCTGACACGACCCAGAATTCTCCGGTGTCCATCAGCAGTGGATTAAACAGTGACCCGGATATGGCGGATAGCCCGGCCGTCACTGGTGTGTCCAGTATGGCTGTAGCGTCGGTTATGGGAAGCTTGTCACAAAGTGCCACCGTATTTATGTCCGAAGTCACCAGTGAAGCTGTGTATACCATGTCACCCACCTCCGGCCCAAATCAACACCTTCTGTCCTCAGATGCAGCTGCACAAGGACTGGTACTTGCTGTGAGTTCAGATGGACACAAATTTGCTTTCCCAACCACCGGCAGTTCAGAGAGCTTGTCGATGCTACCCAGCACTGTCTCCGAAGAACTCGTGCTCTCCACAACTTTAGATGGAAACAGAAAAATTCCAGAAACCACCATGAATTTTGACCCAGACTGTTTTCTTAACAACCCCAAGCAAGGGCAGACTTATGGTGGAGGAGGTATGAAAAGCGACAGCATCAGTACCAACATAAGGCAGTCTCCCACAACAGAACGTAGCTTCAACTTCAATACAACCCTCACGAAAGAAATTAAAACTGAGGACACATCTTTTGAACAACAGATGTCCAAAGAAGCATTCTCCTCCTCTTCTGCATCTAACACTCTCACCCTCACTACTGGTTCAGGTTTGCTTCCATCTGGAGGAGGTCTGAGCCCAAGTACCACCCTGGAGCAGATGGACTTCAGTGCCATTGACTCCAACAAGGACTATTCTTCCAGCTTCAATCAGACCGTCCAGAGCCCTCATGTTCATCAGACCCCTTCCCCCAGCTTCTTTCTGCAGGATGCCAGCAAACCTCTTCCCCTTGAGCAAAACACTCACAACAATTTGAATGACACAAGCGGCTCATTTGTGAACACGTTAGGAATCCCCAGTGTGAAGACAGAGTCCTCCTCCCAAACCACTTCCAACTGTAACGGCACAGTGGAAACCAGAATAGAGTCCACCTCTTCTCTCCAGCTCATGCAGTTCCAAGCAAACTTCCAGGCTATGACTGCAGAAGCTGAAGTTCCCATGGAGACCTCCCAGCAGGCAGAAGGGAATGAAAATCTACTTAAATCAGGGGATCTTCAAGCCTGCAGCACAGAACACTACTTGCAGCCTGAGGCCAACGGGGGTATTAGGAATGGCAACAATCTCCCTATTCTCCAAGGAAACATGGTACAAGGACTCTATCCTGTGGCCCATCCCAGCTTAAATAACTCCTCCAACATGGAGCTTAACTTGGACCACTTTGACATCTCCTTCAGCAACCAGTTTTCTGATCTAATTAATGATTTCATATCGGTAGAAGGTGGGAGCAATGCTCTCTATGGACATCAGCTGGTGTCAAGTGACAGTGCTGGACTGTCTCAGCCTGAAGACAGTAACAGAGCAACCTACAACCAGGCTGAAATGTGCATTCCTTGCTGCAGCCCTCAGCAAGCCAACATGCAGCTCAGCAGCACAGAAAACGGAGCCAGCACCATGGCGTACATGCATGTGGCTGAGGTGGTCTCGGCAGCCGCGGCACAAGGCACTTTGGGGTTGCTACAGCAGAGTGGGCGCTTGTTCATGGTGACAGATTACTCACCAGAATGGTCTTACCCTGAGGTAAGTCCAGGGCTTTTGCTCCTTAACGTTTACTGCCTGATCTTTCATTGCTTTGTTAATAAGGGCTCCCAAGACCTGGTTTGTTAAAGCTTTGACAAGGCTTGTAAAATACTTCTCTTAGGAGTCAGAGCATCCAAGGCCATTTCCATGTCTGAGTGTGCTTTTAATTACTTCATTACCCTGACAGGCCCTTTCTTCAGTTAGGAAGCATCCAAACACAAATGTTTTCTTTCATTGTAAAGCAAAGCGTGTCCCAGGTGATGGCTTCGTGATGCTACCTGGCCACATTAGAGCAACAGAGTTTGCTTAAACCTGGCTCTGATGCTCCTGGTAGAATAATTCCTGACCTGCACTGCCTTAATGAGTTCAGCATTTACCTTCATCCCAAATTCGCTTGCATGCACCACAGTTAAAACGGAAGCAGCGCAGACTTGAGCCAGAAATGGACAGGCAGGTTGCTTTGAATGAGAAAAGTGGTCCTTTGTGGTTTTGTAAGCCTGGCCTTGAAGTGCTGTTGTACCTCTTACCTTCAGAAGGTGTCTGATCAGGAAAAGATGTAGCACACCCCAATTGGCAGTCCTGTGGTGCCACCCCCAGTAAGTGTGCATCTGACACCACTGCATGGCAAGTTTGCCAGTAGGCGAGGCAGCAGAATATGCAGTAATAAGCAGAGGAGGTGGCTTCACCTTCAGCTGAATGATGCCATGACAGCTCCGGGAGCACAGTGTGAGGTGATGAGGTGGTGTTCAGCAGCTCTAAGAGTTCACATACTCTGCAGTCTCAAACTTGGTGTGAAAATGTGGGTGCTTGCTCTGTAGATGGAAGAAAGGCTGTCAGCATGCAGGAATGGCTGGTGGGCACTGGCAAAAAGCCTCCTGCAGGAGTTTCTGCCCTCTGTTTAGCTGATCTCTCCAACGAGTCCTTTGTGCACAGGCGCAAGCACGGGGGGCAGCTGAAGGCATCCAGAGTTACACAAGCTGAAGCGTGAGCGCTGTGTGGGCACTACCAGGGTTACCATACCGGCTGTTTCACGTGCAGCAGTAATGGAGTGGTGGCTGCTTTGGCAACAGAACCCAGCTAGGCTTCATCTGGAAGCAGTGTGCTGGGGGCATTTGGCTGTGCTGGGCTATGATACTGCTTCTGCCGTGCCTGTTTGCTTGCGTGTAAGGTCCCAAAACTCAACGGAGAAACCCCACCAGCCTCTGTGGTGCAAACCTGCCTTTTTTGGGGGCTACCATGGAAACACTGTTGTTGCCCATCGCTGCTGATGAGCTGCTGACTCCCGCGGAGCTACCTGTGTCTCACACACCCCAGGGACGGATGCGTCTGCACAGCCTCCCCACAGCGCCTTCAGAGCCAGCACAGCCCCGGGGTCACTTCTTTGCCTTGGGGGGGGGGTTCGCTCCCGGAGCCTCGGTTTGCCTTGGAGCAGTGCCCGGCTGTTGTGCTGGGGAAGGGTCAGACCAGCGGCCGCAAGGAGCTCCCTAGCAGGGTCCCTGCCCCCGGCCGGGCTCGGGGTGACTTCGGTTTCTCCCCGCCCCGCATCTCCGGAGCCGGCCCCCGGCTCCCGCCGCGGTGGATCCGGCTCCCTCGGCCGCGCAGGCCGCGCTCCCGCCGGCGGCCGCCCGAGGGCAGCACGGCCGCGGCGAAGGCCACGGGAGGGCCGGGGCAGCCCCGCTGGCGGCGCGGGGTTCGGCCGGCGGCTTCTGGCCCGGCCTCGCCTCAGCGCAGCCGCTGGCAGCGCGCCGGGCCCCGCGGGCCTCCGGGAGCCGAGAGGCGGCCGCTGGAGGCCATGAGCCTGGCACAGCCCTGTCAGGGGAAGGACGGGGAGAGGCGCGGGCAGGCTCCGGGCGAAGGAGCTTCCCTGCAAGCACAGCCTGGGCCTGGGCCGTGCTGCCCTGTCCAGCCTGGTTCCCGGGACCCAGAGAAGCACAAGTTGTGTGGCTGCTGGTTTTAGCCGAGCTCTTCCTACATCACGGGCTGTTGGATTCGCGGTCCGGTGGTGGCTCTGGTTGACAAGCGGCACTTTTCAATGGCCAGGAGGCAAGCGTGGAACCTGCGCCAGCAGCAGCCATGGTGGGCATGAGGTGGGGATGGAGCGCAGGAGCTGCCTGGTGGGAGGGAGGTCTGGCTTGCAGCGTGGGTGAGGTTTGCCATCGCTGGTCACATTCCCTGAGCGGTCCCAGTGACAAAAGACAAGCAGTGAGGGTCACACGGGCAAGGCGGACACACGCTGACTTGAGCGCATGGGCAGGAGTGGGGAACAGAGCAAGTGAAGAGAAGCAGGGATGCTCCACTATGGAATACTGTTTGCATTTCTAGTGGTGGGAGACTGGGGTATCAGTGTTGACCAGTGCCAAGGATCTGTGTTAGCTTGGCACTTCTGTTAGCCCTCATGATGCTGTTTGTCATCCAGCCATTTGCATGCTTCTCTTTTGGGATGACTTCTTCTGTAATGCTTTTCTTTTCCCCTCTTTTCTTCACAGGGAGGAGTAAAAGTCCTCATTACTGGTCCATGGCAGGAAGCCAGCAATAATTACAGCTGTCTGTTTGATCAGATCTCAGTGCCTGCATCTTTAATTCAGCCAGGGGTACTGCGCTGCTACTGCCCAGGTAAGGAACACTTCTATCCTAAAACTGCTGGTTTCAGAGCAAGTTCATAGCCTAATAGTGTCATGTGTATGGCTTGCTGGACCCATTGTGAAAGGCAGTGCATAAACATCAAGAAGCTTTTCCTTTTTCTTTGACCTGTTTAATGTGAGAACAGCAATTTAGGATCAGAATGTATCACAAGAAATCTTGTTTAGGAGTTCTGAATGAGCTTTAAAAATAATGACTTAAAATAATTCTAAGCATTTCTTTAGTTTTGAAGTAGCAGATTAAAGAGCAGCTTTATTCAGGGGCATGCTCACTGCTCTGCTGACTCTGTCTATATTCTGCACTTTGTCCTTGATGCTTACAGAATGAGAACATCTCCAGCCTCTCTGCAGAGACTTCCAGTAATGCTGGCCCTTAGCATATGACTTCAAGCAGAATAACTTAGCTTCATTGTTAGGCCCCAGCTTCCAACTGGAAACACAGTGAGGCTGGTTAATCTCTAGGAGCACGCGATTCCACCTCCTGGCAAAACAACCCATTAGCTGACTCTTAAGCTTACAACCTTCATGTTTGAAAATACAGATTGTCATTTTGGACTCCTTCAGTTGTCTAGTCACACAAATATTGTCAAACACCCCCTCTCCTCTCATTGCATCTGCTCCCAGCCTGACGCTTGGCACATTTGGAGATCCATAGGATAATTCCTAGCCATGCATTTCTCTGCAGGGAGGGCTCTTGTCTTACCACATGCGCTTTCCTTTTAGCTCATGACACTGGGCTTGTGACTTTGCAAGTTGCCTTCAACAATCAGATCATCTCCAATTCTGTGGTGTTTGAATATAAAGCCAGAGCTCTGCCAACCCTGCCTTCCTCCCAGCATGACTGGCTGTCCTTGGATGGTAAGAAGCATGCAACATTCTTTAACAAAGCTCACTGAATGGTAGGAATGTGAGTGAAAGGAGCAGCTCCTGGTGTGGCCGAGGGATGTAGAGGGATGTCGTGCTGTGGGGAGGGGCTATTGCATGTAATCAGAGATCTCTTGCAGAAATTTCTTACTAGTTCTTTTGATGTGAACAAAATGTGGCTGCATTTGATGGGAAGGAGACAAAGGGGTGCTTTCCTTGTCTGAACAGAAAGCTGATTGTTTCCCCAAAACAGGGGCTACCCAGTCCAAGCCAAGCAGTTGGCAAAAGAATCCATGTTCTCAGGTACCTAAATGTCAGACCAAGGGATGGGAACATAGGCTCTGGATTTATATGGCAACTTTGTGCGTGCAAGTTTTAGGTTCAGGTTTACCTGGTCACCGTGTGCTCCCAAAACACTTTTATAAAGGAGCAAGATGAGAAGGATGTTGGAGAACTTAGGAGCCTGAAACATTCATTTCCCTTCCTGAGTGTGACTGCTAGAGAGAAGCAGCTTCCAGCTTGGACCAAGGAGATGCAGGGAAAGAGCTGGTTTGTGTGACAAGCTGGGAAAGGACACTGCTTTCATCTTTCTTCATCAGAGAGAGTCGGCTGCGGGGGCACTGCATTTTGTGCAGTCTTGACAAGGTCCCAGCACTCCTGCTTGGTGTGAGCATTTTGTTTTCTCTGCTAAATACAGGAGACAAATATGGGAAGGTCAGGTCCTTAGTCTTCACAGATTTCATAGCTGGGAAATGAATACTGATGTTACAAAGTGTTACAGAAAAGGAGTCACAGGAGTAGTTGTTTGCACAGGGCCATACTGAAGTCAAAAGACAGATGATGAGCTAATACATTGATGCAGTTTGTTCCTCAGTCAATTAACCTCATGCTATTTTGCCTGTCAGCTGCAAACATGGTAACTGTAATACAACAACACATGCTTTGGGAAATCTACCGTGGATGTTACTTCTGATACCAGCTTAATGTCTTTAAAATATTGCTATCATTACCAAGATTTTAAGCATATGTTACTGTGTTGTTGTTGTTATTTTATACCTTTGATTGACATGGCAAATCCTTCAAACTGTTTTACTGGATAAATGTTGAACAGTTTCTAAATCAGGACACCTACATGTCAGCGTAGGCAGGTGGTGGTTGAAGGGGTTTGGGTGGGCTCCCTCATTCTGTCTGGGAAGCCCTGACAGGAAAAGCTTTCTTCATTAAACCATGCACTGGAAGCTTTCTCCATACCATAGCAGTTGTGAGCCTAGGGACTGAGGACACAACGCTGCCATTGAGCATCCACAGTTCATCTGTAAAGCGTGAGTGCCATGGGCAGCTGAGGAGGAGCCATTCCTAGCTGGATTCTGGTGTGTACGCGTGCACAGCCTGAGCTGGGAGACAACTGGGGGAGAAATAGTAAGAAAATAGGGTTTCCCTCATAGTAGCACCAGACGTTACTCCAGTGGCACAGAACCTGTATCTTCAGTTGTTCAAGGTTATCCACTAATATTAGCAGCAAACTGATGCATCCTTCCCTGGCTTCCCCTCTCCCTGTAACGTAACAGAATGCAAACGTGTAGTTTGTCTCCTCTTTCTGATCTGTGGCTGCTTCATTTCTCGTGTCACATACAAGAGAGACAAATCAAGGTGTTCGGGGGGGCACTGCTTCTGATGCTCATAGACAGGAGTGGAACAGAGACACATCCCTGTGGTTATTGTGGAGTAAAGGGAGGTTTGTGACTTGGCTATAGAGGCATATTCTGTGAACAGAAATAGAAATAGCTCTTAAAAAGGAAGTGCTTGTAATCATGTTCAGCATCAAAATTGAGTTTGCTTGACTTCTGAGTATCCTAAGAGTCTGCAGGTGCTTTTCATCTGCTGCTGAGGCTGCACACTGCATGTGAACTACAGCTGATACTGATGTGATGGAGATTGATATTCAGCTGTTAGCAGTCCCTGCAGCGAGCATGCAAAGCAGATAGGTTTTAAAACGCTTGTTTAACAACTCCCTCAGTGCTGGTGAATTCGGAGGAGCTGCAGAAGGTGGCTGTGAGCGCTGTCTGTGGCGTTCCTGCAGTTTGGGTTAGCAGGCGAGCTCTCACAATTAGAGATCGTTATGATGTGGTGATGGTGGAAGGAAGGGGGACTGCAGCAGAGAACAAACTAGGGCATTGCTAACATGGAGGGCTGAAAAAAAAGTAAAAGGACCGCTGCATTGCAGAGGGCCTTCAGGGAGAAAGCCTGAATAATTATACTAACCATGCCTTATCAGAAGCCTCTGCCTTGATGCACTGTGTTCCAAAGGGAGCACATTACACTGTTATTTAAAGGACCAGAAACATCTTTCTGTTTATTCTTAGAGAACAAATGTTAGCTTAGCTAGCTAAGGTGTAAGCTAATGTGAGTTGATTCTATCAATAGAATATATATGCAAACCACTGTCTTCTCTGTTTGCTTCAATTGCCCTGATTCAAATCCTTGCCCTACTGCCTATTACATGGTCTTGAGGGAAGGTTTTCAAGGAATACTTGTAGTCCCAAAATATTGACTGGAATTTTAAATTGTCTATAATTAACTCAGTGGAACACCTTGAGTTCCTTCGCACTCCACTGTTAAAACACAGTGAATGATTCCAGCCCGTATGGCCACTGCAAGGGAAGCAGGTTTAACAGTCAGCTCCACCCCAGGAACAGCATGCTAAAAGAATCAGCAATTTCTATCTCCCGTAAATTTAGACAAATATTTGTCATCCACAATCTCTTTAAAATAAAGATAGAGGCATCCTACATTGAACTGTGTATTTCTGGTCATATTAAGACAAATTAATCTGCTGCTTTTGTTCAGTTCTGCAGGTAACTGAAAACCTTCAGTCTCTGTTTCTTTCTTCAGGGGGCAAATCTTCAGCTGCCTGTCCATGCCCAGCTCACAGCATATAGTGGCTTTGACTTCTCTGCAAGCTCCTCTTGAGAATTTACTGTCCAGTTACAGGACCTGTGTAGTTGTTACGTGCCTTTGCAGCAACAGGCTGTGCTACGCAGGGTGTAGCTCAATCATGAAAGGATATGGCATAAACAAAGCCAGTAAATAAAATAGATGTGTATATACAATTGCCACTCTCAGGGATGGATGGCTCACAGTCAGTGCTAAGGTAGTAGGCACAAATCACAACTCTATAGAAGTTTTCAGATTTTAGCAAAGAAGCATCAGAAACCAAGTGTGCAAAACCAGAGCTCCACAGTGACCACAGGAAGAAGTGAGCACAAACTTTTTGCATGGTGAGCAGCTCCCAGTGCAGGCTGAGAGCTCATGGTAATGCCATGAAATCCGAGCATATACCTGTGCAGTGTCACAGCAGGATCTGTTTCCACCTTGGTACAATGGGAATTGTGTTTCCCAGAGAAAAATGTTTAATGGAATCATAGACTTAATCAGGTTGGAAAAGACCTTTAAGATCATCAAGTCCAACATTTACCCCAGGACTGCCAAGTCTACCACAAACCCATGTCACTTCATAGTTCTGCTACTCTTTGAAGTGCTGAGCTTGGGTCAATGATAAAATCCCACTTTTCTGAGCACAGACCAAGTATTGGCCTTTGGGACCAGGGAGCAGTACTGCAAACAGCTGACAAGTGTTGGGAGACCATATCCCTCCATGCCTCCTGTGTCAGGCCAAGTGAAGGAATGTGCAGAGGGGGTTTTAAGGGGCAACACTTTGGGTGGTTGTCCTCTGAAGGGCTTCTTTCTTTTTCAGTGTCTGTACTGTGCTCTGAAGGATAGTGCATCCTTTTCTGAACTATACATAGCCACACTTGGTTTACTCTGTTTTTCCTTATTTTACCCAACAGATGAGATAGATCCTTTACAAGTGGACAGTGGACACCAGTTGCTGATGTTCTTGCAGTTTTGTTCTAGTTAGTTAGAATATTAATGTTCTTTCCTTTCAAAGAAAGCCTTTCTTCTCCCAAAGGAAGCACTCCCACATGATCCTGATCTCCTGTGATAAACTTGGCAGCCTCTTTTTTTCTCTATGAAGCTGAAAGTTTTCAGAAGCTATCGTGTGTTTCCATAGCCATTTGACGTCTGCACAGAGGTTCTCTTAGAACAAAAATCAGACAAGTGCCCTTCTGAACTGAAGGACAGAGATCTCCTAGTGACAGATGTGTAACAAACTAGAAAGGCCTTTTAGTACAGATTTCCAGTGGGAAGCACGTATGTTTGCCCTCTCCTGAAGCCTTTGCTGCTTTTAAACAGCATCTGTAGAGATGACGTTTCCTTGGCATGGGACATGACCTCAAATCCCAGGGAGACTGGTGCAAGTGCTCCTTGGCGTATCTGTTCTGCAAGTGCATGAAAGAGGCTCAAGAGGAGCAAGTGCTGCCACAGGGAGTCCAAACAAGAACTTAAAATACATGGGCAGGCAACGTGTGAACTGATGAGTCAGGCGTGTATGGGATGGACAAGGGTGTGACTGGTACTGAATGTAAGTGGTGCTGACGCAAGAGAGCATGACAGGCAGCCTTTCAGCTACTCTTGGCTTCTCAGTTCAAGATCTGGCTGTCTTTCCCAGCTGGGGTGTTGGGTGGCTCACTTGCGTTAGCATGACGTGGCCATACCTGTGGCACCCAAGCTCTTGTTCTGGCGTGCTGGAGGTAGATGGGGCACATGTATTCAGGTTGTCTGAGACCGTACAGTGTGTGCTGCCTGCGGCATTCCGTGTTTCACAGGTACGTGATTCCTGCAGTGCCAGATGCTGGATGTTCATTACCAAAATCCACGGTGGAGGTCTGCTGACCGGGAGTGGGTACCCTTTTTGGCATCAGGAGATGATGTAAGAGAGATGTGTTCAGTATCGGTGAGGTCCTTAGAGTGTTTCCATAAGAGGTAGGAAGGAGTTTGTGAGCAGTAGTGACGTGTATCGCTCCTCTTCCACTCTGGGTAGAGGTGACTGGATGCTTAACTTTACATCTTGGATTTTACCATAAAAAATATAT